TATCGCTAACTATACCAATAAATTTTCTTTCGGACATTCAACGGCATGCGGATTATTAATATAAACTTTGCTTTTAAAAGAAGTAAATACATTAAAATAATTGTAATGTTATAAAGTGACATGGCTAACTAACAGTTCAGTTTCCAGAAATTATTTTTTCACTCCATTTCACTTTCAAAAGACTGAATTCTCTCTCTGTTATGCATGAAATGTTGCACAGATGTGTTGAAACTACGTAATTTGCATATCAATACGTTCGGACACCCGAAACAAATAATTTGTAATTATTGTCATACATAATATTTTACTATAATAAAAATTACGCTGACAAATCAACCAAATCAGAAGTATATAGACCAAATAATCTATCAAAATGAAAATCACATAAATAGTTACTTTTTGCTGGTTTTATAAATAGCTTTCCTATAACATTACTTATACTTCAGAATTTATTCGCCTCAAATTCAACAATTTCGTTCGCTCATATGAAAAAAAGCTTCACTGAAAATCATCAGTGTAAGAATATGATTTTTATGAAATTAAAACATATTTTTTAATTAAACTGCTTAACTCCTTTAAGTCAAAATATTTGCTAACTATTGTATACTACGTTACGAGTATGTATACTAAATTTGCTGCGTGTATATTAAAAAGCAATGCTCAATTTTGACAAAACTATCAATAAATAGGAAGCATTTTAGCAAGAAATGGTGTGGCGCCAGATTTAAATAGTTACTTTATTCAAATTTGAAAGTTGAATTGCTTATTTTTAAATATATTTTAACTCAAAATAGTTAAAAAAAGAAATTTCATTTTAGAACATCTTCTACATTTGCTATGCGAGTAATCCTTACTAATGGTATGTGAACTGTTCACAATTTTTAATAAATTTGTTTGAATAATTCGAATTCCCATAAAAAATATTTATCAAGTTCCGTAAGTATTTTCTTATAATCGTTTGTGTGCTATCGTACAAATATACAAGATAAAATATTATTCAACAATGTGTTTAATTATACAACATTATAATTCAAAGAGTTATAAATATTATAAATTTAAATAAAATTATAAACATTTTATGTATACACATTTTAAATTTAATTAAAATATCCGGAAAATTGTTTACGTTTGAACATTTTTAACTGTAAAATTTTTATTTTTCTCCAAAATACTTTCATTTTAAATATTTTTTGACAGAAATCCTTCGAATTATTTTAAGTTTTAAAAGTAGTTTTGTTTTCTTTTTTGTTTTTTTGATTATTCAATATAAATATAAAGAAAAATGAGCAAAAATCCACCTACAGTTGAATTTATAAATACAAATAGGCAATAAGTTCATCGAATCTTTTTGAATTAGAAAAACAAAAATTAAAAAAAAAACAAAATGATAAAAATAAATTTTAATTGATGAAAAAAATAAAAAATAAGAAGAAAAAGAATGTTTTTTCAAGATTTTAAATCACAGCAAAATTCGGAATACAGTCACAATTTTTGACTATAGAACACAAAAAAAACAATAAAATAAAAATAACTAAGTATAGAACAAAATAGTTAAAAATTTGCCAAATTAAAAAAAAACCACCACTTTTTTATTCGTGTTCTTTTAATTATTTTTAGTTTTCAAATGGCTAGGATAAATTCATTTAAAAAAAAAAGTCATCTCTTGGCCAAATTTAAAGTCAACGTGATTTTGACATTTAGAATAACAGTACAAGAGACAAAAACAATAAAAATCAAGTATAAATCAAATTTTTATACCCTGCACTTGCGTAAGTTTGTAGCCACTGAAAGGAGTCACATGCGTTCTGCGGAGAAAAGTGCTGCGTTTATTTACACAAATTCGTCCTTCCGATCAAGAACGAATAAAACTAGCACCATCAAATTTCCGCAAAATGATTCTTTTTCGCTGAGGACGGATCCTATTGTAATTGGACCAAATCATTAGACATTGTTCAATTACATTTTACATAGTCTATTCTGAAAATTTTAATAGAATTGCTGCACTAGTTCGGGTAGCTTCCATACCACTCCAAAAATTAATTTTAAATATTCGAAAAAATAATAAAGTTAGATTCATGAGACTTAGCAGACCAATAATAAATCAGTAATATCCTAGAAGCTTTTATGGAACAGGTTCGAGTAACTACCATACAACCATGAAAACTATAATATTAAATATTTCAAAAAAAAATTTTTATATTGCCAAAGTGCAGACAGGGTATAATTCAGTCGGTTCAGATGGACTGAAAAGTTTTTTTTTTCAAAAGTTTCATAAAAAATTCTTCACAAATTTTTTTTTCTAGTTGTTTGTGTGAATAAATTTATTAATGTGCATTTTTAATTTTATGGTTGTCATAACTTTATTAAAAAAATGGGACAAATATTGTTCATGTCTCACACCCTCTAATAAATATTTGAATATTCTGTTTACTTATTTGTTTTTAATAAGATGGATTAAAATATGCTGGTTAATGTTTTTAATACAGAGATTAGGTGTTATTTATTTCAAGCAGAGCCCAAATGAAATATGCATATATGTTCAAATTTTTAAAAATATTCAAAATAATAGAAGCTATAATTTAAGATTTATTTGACTTAAATCAAAGAAAATTTAAAGGTAATTTTAAAATTTTGAAAATTTAAAAAAAAAAATTATTCCAATAAAAATTTTATAACTATGGTGCGCTATCTTATTAAAATTTTATTGAAAGAAATTCATTTAAATTCTCACACTTATCTAACTTTATACCACAAGTATATAATGATGTAGTTTACAGAAATCTTAGCTAAATTAAATAAACAAACAGGCTCCTAGAGATCACTTGTTCAGGGTTTGATTTCCGTTTTTCAAATTTTAGTATCATATTTTCAATTTATATTTAAGTATTGAAATTTTTTATTCAAATTTCGTGGATTTTACAGAATTGTCCACGTATATCAGTATGAAAAAAGTGGCAACTCACTTAAATACACAATAATAAAATGTTTTTCAATAAGTACTCACATACATTATTTTCTCTTATATATTATGTACTTAATTACTTTTTCTATCGTAATAAAAAATCTAAATTGCAGCCCTTTGACATTTCCCAAAAAAATTTTCGCATTTGTTATAAGTATGCTTTTAATTTAAGTATAAGTAAAATGTGAATTTTATGTGTAGCACATGTGAATTTCTCAAATAAATAAAATAAAATATGAATTATAAATTGAAAGTAAAAATAAATCTTTGAAAAATTTGAATAATTATTAAAAAAATAAACGAATTTATTATATTTTCTTATACGTACGTATAACAGTATGAATGGATTATTAATTTTGCTTGCGTTGTGTTCGTTTCTAATTTTAAAATTTAAATACATTTTTCAAAAATTTATTTTATCTTTTTTTTCTCTAACTCTAAAAATAAAATAAAAAACCACGTGATAATTTGTATACTACTTATTTAAAAAAAAAATTAAATTATAAAATTTTGCCATCTCTTCCCTTTGTAACCTTAATACGTTTTTTTTTCATTTTGTATTACACAAAATAGTAATTAAAGAATCTAAATAAATAAAATTCTTCTTCTGAATCAAAATGATAATGAATTTAATATTATTTTTCATTATAAATATTTCTGCAATATTCAAATTAATGTATGTAGCTATATACTATTAAAGATTTATTATAATAATTTTTAAAAAAGTTTCAAAATCTAGATAAGTATATATGATTTTTCGTCTTATGTGGTGGGGCTTATGAGTTAAAATTAAATTCAATTCTTAAATTATTTATTTTATTTTCTTTTTACATGTTTCCTTTTCTTTTAATTTTCTATTTTAAATTGTAAAATCTTTAATTATTTTACAAAATTAAAATTGACGTTTAAAATACAACTCTTCAAAATTATTACGAAAAAGAAAAAGAAAAAAATCACAAATTTTCTAAATAACATGTGTACATTTTAAGATGATTAATTCAAACAATTTCTTATAAGTTTTGGATCGGTTCGAATGACCATTCAGTCGATTTGGCATGATCAATTAAGTTCTGGCAAAACAGAAAAGAAAACAAGAGCATATGAATTTTGATTATATTGCAAGAACGAAGATGCTGTGCTACTGGAAAGGCACTGCATTAATGTGCACGCCCTAGTCCGACTAATAAAAACTAAAATTATTAGCCGGATTAAAGCAAAGACGCTATAATTTATAATTTATAAATTAAATTAAATCATAAAATATTAGCATAAATACTAAATTTAGCCTGCAAATATGCAATTTTATAAAAAATGTATGAGATTCTTCCAAAAATCTTAAAACAATCTGTTAAAAATATATATTTGCTAATTTTAATTATGTAAACAAATTCTTTTTTTACTTTAATATTTTACTTTTTGTCAACCTGCATAAGCTAAGAACGAATTTACTTATATCTAGTTTTAGCATTCGAACACATAATTTTTGCCTTTCATATACATACATTTATAAGCTTAATATGCATTATGCTTTACGAAATTTATTATCCTCTCATAATATATTAAATGCTTTACACAGTGGCGCTGCTGTTTTGTTATCTCATTTATTTTTACAAACTACAACAATAACACTCTACGTGTATATATGTATGTAAAAAATTTAATGCAATTTTATAAGCGCAATTTTCTTTCATAGTATCATTTTCGTTTTATACCGTTACATTAATGATCTCGTAGTACATTTTGTATTGTATATTTATATATGGAGTATATACCTTGTACTTGTGTGCTTGTATTATTCACTAAAGAGAGGATCATACAAATATTTTGAATAAGTATATGTATATACACAGACTGATGTTCTAAATGATTTTTTTTGTTGTTATAAGTATTTGAATATTGCAGAATATAAACATGTATGTGTACATATAAATACATAAATATGTATATATATAATTTTCTTATTTTATAATAACCAAAAAGTAAATCGGAAAATTAAAGAAAAATACAAAATGAAAAAAAAATATAATAAAATAAATATATTCGACAAAAAAAAAAATAAATACGAAAATATAGAAAAAAAAATGAAAATATCAGAAAAAGAAAATAATTTTTCGGCTCATGTTTCGGCGATTTTTCCCATTTAGTTGAGAGAAAATCGTCGCTTCGTTAACGTTGTTGGAACACAAAAATTATATACAGAGTTTTTTTTTCTTTTTTTACTAAAAAAAAAATAATAAAAAAAACCCAAAGCATTTTTTTTTCTTTCACTAAAAATATTTTTTTTTTGTGCCCATCAAAAAAAGGATTTACTTATACAATTTTTTTTTTTTAATTAATACTTAAATTTTTTTAATAAATTATTAATTATTTTGCTGGCTTTTCTTTCTCGTTAATTCACGTTTTTGTCGAACAAATACTTAAATTCTGTAGTGATCAATTTTAATTAATTTTTTTTTCATAATTTCTTTAATTTTTATTCCATAAAATCTTATATTGTACCTATGTACTTACACAGATATTTTTGTTAAAAGTTTTTATTAATCAAATAAAAAATTAAAAATTTTAGAAAATTATTTAAACTAATTTTATTTTCTTTTGTAGTTAAAACGTTATTTAAACGCAAAGAAATATATTCAAAATATAACAGGGTGTAACAAAATTAAAGTGATACATCTAATTAAAAAAAAAGAAGAGAGAATTGAATGAAAATCATTTGTGTTTGAAAAGAAAAAATCGAAGTGTTTTGACAAAGCTGCAAAATCAGAATAATTTGCAGAAAATATTTTTGTATAAAAAGTGACCAAAATTTAGAAAAAATAAAAAAATTTGATTTTCACCTGTGAATTTCATTCGTGAAAAATCAAATTAAAGCAAAGATAAAAAAAAAATTAAATAATTAGTGCATAATACCGCATAGAAATTTTTTCTAATTGGATATTATATTTTTCCTCTGTAGACAGAAAAAACATTTCAAGGTGAGTTTATTTTTGGCATTTTGGTCATTTTTTTGGGAAAATTTTTTTTTATATAATTTTTTATTCTCATTTTCTTTTTAGATTTTTTCTAATATATTTATTTATATATGTTTAAATAATTACTGTATTAGTGAAAACTTATATTAGTATTGCCTTTGCCTTTTTATTACTCTCTTCTTTTCTCTGCATATACTCTTATCCTCTCTTAGAAAATTACTGTGTAACACAGTACTGGGGGATTTTCTTTTGAGAATTTAGAAATTTTTTTTTGAGAGAACGTATATTTAATATTGCGACATGGGAGAGAATATTATTCATAATTAAAATGAAAATATTCGGAAAAAGTTTTCTATCATATGACGGCTACTGATACTGAATAAGATATTTTAAGAGTTAGCAACGATTTTCATATCTTTTTTCAATGGTGAATAAAAATGAAAGCAAAAAAAAAAAAGAAGAAAAATTAGTTGGAAAATTATATAGGATCTTGGTAACAATTAACGCAAAAACAAAATGTTTAAGTATTTGAAAAGAAGAAAAAACAAAAATCATAATTTATTTATGAATATTTTTGACTCTTGGGCAGAGAAAAAAAATATGTGGGCTCAAATCGTGCTATTAAAGTAGTTTAAAGCTCAGTCACCTTCCATATGTAAGGTCATGAATTGATACTTAACTCAAATGTATATATAGATGGGTTCAATGATATAGATAAAAAGAAATTAACAGTTTCAACAAAAATCGAATATATTTTAAAAAATTTGAGGTAGTATGGCGGAATTTTTTTTGAATTTTTTTTAATGGAATTACAATAGATATTCTTTTCTCTGCCCCTCTCACCTCAAGCAGGATGAACGATGCAAAGCCTTAAATAATCTGAGGATAAAAAGCTTTTTAAATAAGCTGTGGTGGTTTGCATTAATATTGTTTTTTGTCAGTAGCACAGCCTCTTCGTTCTTGCAAAATTCCGAACATAAAGATTTGAAGCAGTCACATGTAAATAGTAAGTACACAAGTAAATAGCGGACATTTGGTTTATAAATTAATATTGGTGGGTGAAAATGAAGTGATCAGTAAAGCACATTTTTGACTAGAGCGACTTTTAATTTTTAATTACAAAATGTTACGAGAAATTTCTACAGAACAGTGGAAAACAGTAAATTGAAACTTATTCTTGATTTACGTAGAGGCAATTGCTACAATAATTGATTACAATATATTAATTTTTCCTTTATATTAGTCAATATTTTGAAATACAGCTCCCTCCATAATCTCTGTCCCATAAACTTAAAGAAAAATTAATAGTTTCTAAGGAATAGAATGTGGGATGAGATGTCCTTATGTCGGTTTGTATGAAAAATTTAATTAAACAAAAGCTTATGTAACGACAATGTGAACATATTAATTTTTGTGTTAATGACATTTCGCGTAGAGCGCGAATTATTAATTTTGATTTGAAAAAGAAAAATTTTTTTTTTCTGGCGCAATAATAATTTTTAGAAATAAGTCTAAAAAAAAATATGAAAAAGCAAAATGGTTGAAAATTCGATCTAGAAAAATGTTTTTTTTTCTTTCTTCATTTTTCTTATTTTATTTCAGAAAATTTTCATTTTCTTGTCTATTTTTAAGAACGAACATATTTTATTGTTAAGTTTCAAATAAGTATAGCTATACTTTCGTATACACTTTTACAATTTATATTTATTTACATAAATACATGCATGCTCGTTTATATCAGTTTTTTTTTTCTTTATATATCTACATACATACTTAATTTTGTTTATTGGTGCCTAGAGAAAATTGCTAAAGAACAATTTAATTTTTATAAAAATTTCATTTCAAAAACAAAATTTTTGAAAATTTAAAAGAAGAAAATATTTAAAATTTTATAAATTTTAATATTGTGGGTGTAATTTTTAAAAATTTTAATATACATACTAATTTATAATAGTTTTGAATAAGGAATATTTAAAAATTCTTCGGGTTTCAGTTTACAATCATTTGATAATTTTGTTATTAAGTATTTTCTTAAAATATCACTTGTTATTCAGAGTTCTTAATCTTCTTAAGTACAAAAATATAGACAAAATTCAAATAATCATAAATAACTCAAGTATAAATTTAATAAATAGAAATTGGCTGATGTTTTACAGTTCATTTACACGAAAATAATTTATTATTTTCTTTATTTTAATTGCGATCATTCACATTACTCATATACCGTGAAATTTTTCAGAAAAAAATGTCATCATAAGTACGATAATATTTTGTTTAATGGCCGTCAAAATAAAAATATTATAAGCACCTAAATAATTTTAGTTTCAGGCAATTTATATCATGACACATTGTTGTCTTTTTGTAGTACTGAATGTGGTAAACCAAATACTATTATAATAGTAATATAAGTGAAATATTGATAGTATAACATAGTAGGTGAAATAATATTAACTACTAGAAGATAACAGAATGCTTTATTGCGACGCCATTTAAATGTAATTATGATAAATTGCTTTCTCAAATTTATCTTAAAAGGTTTGAAATTTGTTTCAACGTTCATTATACGTACTAGTTTAGTATTTAAATTAAAATTAAAATTTTATTCTAATAAGTAACTACATATCGTGTGTATAAACATTTTTACACAACTCAGTATTTTATACATTATTCATTTCAGATGAATTTTAAGTTTAGGAAGTCAAAACCGATTTTGAATATTTTTCAAGTAAATTCAGGCTTATTTTAAAATTTGAAATCGATGATGTTCAGATCTAAAACTCATAACTAAATGACATCAAACCAATGACAGCTGTCATTGTCATTACTGTCAAAATAGTACCATTTGATCTCAATAAATGTCTTTTCAGTTCGCGTCACTAAAATTTAATGACGTGAATTCATTTTGAAATTCCTTTTAATTTTTTGTCAATTCCTTTCTATTTTCAGGTGTATTATAAATATCGTATCAACTATAGGGAATTAAAATACTTTTCAACAATCATTAATAATGTATTTAATTTCAATTAAGAATAATAATTATTTAATTTTATTAAAAACATATACTTTCATATTTGTATTTTCATACATTTATTATACATTATCAGTAATTAGTTCTACCCCGCCAATTTACATTATTCAATTTGTTGAAAACTTGACACGTTATTCCACACTCTCTCAGTTACAAACACATGTTGTACGAGACATTCAGTTTTCTCCCTTCACTTTCTCATTCACAGTGAGAAGTATTTAAGTGTAATATTTATAAATGAATTCATTAATATATTTTTTATTGTAATTTATTTTACAAAACAAAATTAAAATTTCTCATTCATAAAATGTTTTTATTTTAGGTAAATTAATTAAACTCTTAGAAAATTTTTAAAATATTTTCGATGTCAACATTAAAAAATTTTTTTAATTTTACATTTAAATATGGCATTGTTGATAAAAAAAAATTTAAATTTAAACTCACAAACAAATTATATTTTTACTGCAAGAATTGCAAGAATTTTTTTTTCGAATAAGTAAGTAATAATAAAACAAAAAAAAATTGTCAAGGCAAAAATCATAAAAATATTATGAGATAATAAAAATTGTCAACTTAAAAATTTATTTTATTTAAATTGTTATTTTTATTTTATTTATTGTTATTATGCAATATTATTACTTTATGCAAACTTTTAGGTACATCTGTTAGAATTTTTAATTAAAAATAAAAAAAAAATATGAAAAATAAATAATTTCATTTTTTTTTATCTTTGACAAAATATTTGACAGACAAATAACACTATTTGACTTTGAAAAACTCACAATGAAAATTAATTTATAAATACTCAACTGTCAATCATATCTGTCAGTTAACGTTATTTGATAATAGTACACGACGTTTGCATGAATTATTCTTCTACCTATGTAAACTTAGATATAATTATTTAAGAAAATATATATATGTACGTCATAAATATAATTATATATTTTGATATTGTCATTATGGGAGAACGTCACAAACAATGTTGTCAATTTTTTTAATTAAAATATTTTAATTATGATTAAATAAGTAAAAAATTAAATTAGAGAAACAAAAACATTGAAATTACATTGTAAATTAATTAAAAATGCGAGGAAAATAATTGTACAACATTTAATTGTAATATTCGAAACGAACTTGAAAAAAATTATGTTAAAAATTAAAATAATTAAAAAAAAATTTATAACACAAATTTTATAAACGTACATAATTAATAAATTATATGCCTAGTTACGGCAAAATTAAAAATTTTGCTGGCAAAAATGCAGATTATTCCTAATTAAATTTTATTAAAATTTAATGTTATGAAAACATAACAGTAATTATTGTACTTTTAATGTAGAATTTATGCAAGAAAACATGGTCTTGAACTTTTTTTTAATTACCTAAGTACTTAAAATAGGTATTTCTAATTTGAAATAACCTAGTTTAAAAACAGAATGCCAAAAATTTTGGCATAATTGGTTACCTTTTTCTTTGTACCTATAGTATTGCATTCAATAAGGGAGGTTATATGATGGCACCAAATTTCGGATGGCAAGTTTTCGTAGGGAAGCGTGAATAAACTATTTTTAAAGAAATGTCGGTCTGTCGACCTGTCTATCATTGTTTGATCAACTTTTGGGATATGTTAGACTTCGGGAACTACACTTTTTTGCCAGTCAAATTTACATTTTTCGCAAATAAGGAGAAATTATCAACAAATTTTTTTTAAATTTAATATTTAAATTGTAAAAAAATTAATCTACAAATTTTTTAGAAAGATCTGGTCTCGGAAACCGAACTGGGGATCGATTTTACATATTTTACAATAAGTGTCTAATTAGTTTATAAAATTTGTTGAAATTTGATATTTGAGTTCTGGTTATTACCGAAACTAACTGGTGAACTTTTCAGGAAATTCGTGTTCAAAAGGCATTTTCATATTCTTCTGTAACACTTTCCCTAAATTAGGCAATACACATTGCAGTCGATT